ATGTAAGGGGACATTCTTCTCATTTACAAACAATATGAAGGACTTTATAGCCAATGACTACAAATGTAAAGAGACTTTTTTCCATTGACTACAAATCACATTTTTCCCATTTACGCCATTGTAAGGGAAATTATTACCAGGTACCACCAATGTAAGGAAACATTCTTCCAATTTACCCCATATGAAGGACTTTCTTCCCAATGACTGAAATTGTGAAGCCTACCAAGGTGACCATAAGGAAGATAACCAAGATGGCAGTGCTCGGAATATTCTATGTGTGGTATTTGTAATGGTTCCATGTATCCTGGCACAGGTGTAGAACTGGACCATCTAGACCAGCCTTTCTCAACCTTTTCAGCACAGAGGAACCCCTGAAATAACTTTCCGGTCTCAGGGAACCCCTGCAAAAAATGACTGTGTCTAAAACTCATGATACAATAGTGTGATGGTCAGTGGGAGGAATGCTCCTCATACTTGAGGTCATTGGGAAGAATGCTCCTCACACTTGTGTCATTGGGAAGAATGCTCCTCACACTTGTGTCATTGAAAAAAATGCTCCTCACACTTGTGTCATTGGGAAGAATGCTCTTCACACTTGTGTCATTGGGAAGAATGCTCCTCACTTTGTGTAATTGGGAAGAATGCTCCTCACACTTGTGTCATTGAAAAGAATGCTCCTCACACTTGTGTCATTGGGAAGAATGCTCTTCACACTTGTGTCATTGGGTGTCACTTGTGTCATTGAAAAGAATGCTCTTCACACTTTTGTCATTGGGAAGAATGCTCCTCACACTTTGTGTCATTGGGAAGAATGCTCTCACACTTGTGTCATTGGGAAGAATGCTCCTCACACTTGTGTCATTGGGAAGAATGCTCCTCACACTTGTGTCATTGGGTAGAATGCTCCTCACACTTGTTTAATTGGGAAGAATGCTCCTCACACTTGTTTAATTGGGAAGAATGCTTCTCACACTTGTTTAATTGGGAAGAATGCTTCTCACACTTGTGTCATTGGGAAAGAATGCTCCTCACACTTGTGTCATTGGGAAGAATGCTCCTCACACTTGTGTCATGGGGAAGAATGCTCCTCACACTTGTGTCATTGGGAAGAATGCTCCTCACACTTGTGTCATTGGGAAGAATGCTCCTCACACTCGTGTCATTGGGAAAAATGACTCCCTTATAGATAGCTAAAAAGATCATTGGTGTCAGTAGAAATTTATCTGAGTCAGAAATTTATCGTTGCTTAAGGAATCCCTAAGCAACATCTGCGGGAACCCTAGTTGAGAAACCCTGATCTAGACTCTCTAACTAATAAATTTGATGGATAATTCTCTATGAACTGAGCACATTCCAGTCATCAATCATCTTAGAAATATGGTCATGGAAAAAAATGGAGTCAGGAGATTGAAACGTGTAGAACTTCTTGTTTATTTCGGAATAATTAACACACAGAGAACCGAAAGTGAATTTCATGCGCCTGAAGTCAAAGAAAACTCGAATGTATTGTATAATTATTTATTTTGTCTTGACATTTTCATGGATGGGCCAAAGGAGGGCCTTGCACATTACCTTCATAGATCCTTTTAATTGAATGAGAAGACAGACGTCTACTCACAAACAACAAGAGCTCATCCATATCAAACCGTGTCACCTGATCCACTGCACAACCCAAGGAGTTGGCTCTGAGGAAGAGGGGATTCCCCCTCGAAATGTGTCAGCCATCTAATCTCAGAAAGTGTCCTTCCTAGACTAAAACTGTGCGGTGGACTGAACGACACGGATCGCTGTTGATCTTCGTGTTCCTGCCAGCTGCTCCTTGGTGGCACTCCCCACCTGGTTCCTCAGTGATCTACCTTGTGGCCCATGTCAGCACCTCCTTACCAAGAGTTTTACGAGAAGTGGCCACCTATGGACTGAGCTTACAGCACCCAGGCCACTTTTGGCCTTTTCATTCCCTGTTACTAGACACGTGCGTTTCACTTTGTCTTTCATTACCGGAGACCATGGCCCGTCTCTTGGCCATGATTTTGTCCTACACCTTGTCTGCTGTTGGCCTTCCCAGTCGACAACCTCTGCCTTCCCAGTACCATACTTCCAGTTCATCGTAGGTTCCAGTGTTCCTGGCAGCTGCCCCTTGGTGACATGTAAGGGGACTTTTTTCCCCCCCCCCCCCCCACCTGGTTCCTCAGTGATCTACCTTATGGTCCACGTCAGCACCTCCTTACCAAGAGTTTTACGAGAAGTGACCACCTATGGACTGAGCTTTCACTATTGGCCTTTTCATTCCCTGTTACTACACACGTGCGTTTCGTTTTGTCTTTCATTTCTGGAGATTCGGATGTATTCCGAATCTCCAAATGGACACAGCAACGAAGGTCAACGAGTCCGAAAAAAAAGTTCTAATGAAATTGAGGAATGCATTTGTTTCATTTGGAGGACAGCACCTGATGCCGTAGTAGTTCACGCCCGTGGACAAATGAATTCAGATTCGTTTGATCATTCAGATAACGAACGGATCCAAATTTCGATCCACTCATCCAAGTGGTTCTAAAAGCTCAAGGTTTTGTTTTTTGTTTTACAGTACCTTCATGTATTCTATGTATGAAAGTAAAAAAAACTTTCTGTGTGCAGCGGGCCCCTCCCCCCATCCTTACCTGAGCCCCTTCCGATCCAGCAATGTTCTCCACAGCCTCTGCTGTCTGGGGACTCTCATTGGCTGAGACAGCTGTCAATCACAGCCAGTGAGCCAATGAGGAAACAGCAAGGGGGGGTAGTGCCGATCTGTGGTTCTATGTGTCTTATGTATGTAGAGCAGTGCCTTTCCCTAGGGGGCACTGCTTGAGGGGGAGGAGCCAGGAGCACCAGCGGGGACCTGAAAAAAGGATTAGAGCTGCTCTGTGCAAAAAAAACCTGAAGCTTTGGTGTCACTTAAATTCAGATGCACATGACACCAGTCGATATTGCTCATGCCATTTCTCTTGGGAGGGTTTGGACTAGCGTCTGAAACTAGTGGTGCACCGAAATAAGAAAATTCTGGTGTCGAAACCGATACTTGAAAATGCAGAATGCAAGTGGCCGAAAACTGAACCAAAACCGAAATGTCTGCATATGTGGGGGTGGGGAGGCTCCAATTTTTTATTTATTTATTTTTTTCTACTTTCATGTATATATATATATATATATTTTTTTAACTTATGATTTTAATCCCTTACGTGATAGCATATGAGTGACAGGTCCCTTTGTAGGGTGGGAGGGGATGGAGGGCAGTGTGTGCAAGGAGGGGGCAGGAGAGGAGCAGTGTATACAGTGAGGGAGCAGGGTATACAGAGAGGCTCCCTCACCGGCTGTCACTATAGGTCGGTGCTGATTTTTAAATGCAATTGCCAGCTTTTTTTTTTCTTCACTATAGCTCACAGAATTAGCTGTCACTTTCCCCGGAGCTAAAGGAAACTTTGTTTCTTTTATCTCGGGAAAGAAACTAAAAGGAAACTTTGTTTCTTTTATCTTGGGAAAGAAGCTAAAAGAAAACTTTGTTTCTTTTATCTCGGGAAAGAAACTAAAAAGGAAACCTTGTTCTTTTATCTCGGGAAAGAAACTAAAAAGGAAACCTTGTTCTTTTATCTCGGGAAAGAAACTAAAGGGAAACTTTGTTTCTTTTATTTCGGGAAAGAATCGAAAAGGAAACATTTGTTTCTTGTATCTATGGAAAGAAACTAAAAGGAAACTTTGTTTCTTTTATCTCTGGAAAGAAACTAAAAGGAAACTTTGTTTCTTTTATCTCGGAAAAGAATCTAAAAGGAAACTTTGTTTCTTTTTTATCTCGGGAAAGAAACTAAAAGGAAACTTTGTTTCATTTATCTCGGGAAAGAAATGAAAAGGAAACTTTGTTTCTTTTATCTCGGGGAAGAAACGAAAAGGAAACTTTGTTTCTTTTATCTTGGGAAAGAAACTAAAAAGGAAACCTTGTTTTTTTTATCTCAGGAAAGAAACTAAAAGGAAACCTTGTTTTTTTTTATCTCGGGAAAGAATCTAAAAGGAAAAGTTTCTTTTATCTTGAGAAAGAAACTAAAAAGAAACATTGTTTTTTGTATCTATGGAAAGAAACTAAAAGGAAACTTTTTTTTTATCTTTGTTTCTTGTTTCTTTCATCTTGGAAAAGAATCTAAAAGGAAACGTTGTTTCTTTTATCTCAGGAAAGAAACGAAGGAAACTTTGTTTCTTTTATTTCAGGAAAGAAACTAAGGAAACTTTGTTTCTTTTATCTCGGGAAAGAAACTAAAAGGAATCTTTGTTTCTTGTATCTATTACATTTAAAAAACCGGCACCGACAGTCACTGTATACACTGCTCCTCTCCTGCTTTCTCCGCCCCCCCCCCCCCCCCCCCCCACACCTGCAGTACACCACAGAATTCCGATAGGGCTATTTTTGGTCGATAAGTTTCGGTGAATCCCTATCTGAAACTATCAAATCCTTCCGATTCAAATCCGGCTGCTTTGATCATATATCGAATATGTAGCAACCTTTTGGAAAAACTGCAGTGTTTTCCACCTGGCCCTAGGAATATACAGAACGAATGCCGAAGAAACGAAACGCGTTCCGGAAACATAAGGAATACGACGAATGGAAACTCTTCAATGGGCAAAGGCATCCGAATCTAAACTGAACTTCCCGGCGCGGACATGTCTACCTATTACCATTCCATGGGTTTTCGGTCAGAGGTGCGAGGGAAGCCCGCTCAACACTTTGGCCCCTGACCCGCTATACCTAATATTATACATCACACACCTCCCAAAAAAAACAGATAACAAAAAAAACAAAAAACTAAATCGGATATAGAAAAGACGATTTTTCTGTGTGAATCTTCTGGTTCTGATTTCTTGTAGCTAAAACATTTTAAAAATGAGTGGAGATAAGAAAGACCTCTCTTGTGTTTTTTTGCCACACTCCCCCCATATCAATCTATACTTTGAAAAGGCTGTTAGCCCATGTGAGTTCTCTGGTGTGGAACAAGTGCGCTTTTACGACTGAAACATTTCCCGCACACTGGACATGAAAAAGGACGCTCACCGGTGTGACTTCTCTGGTGTCTCAGAAGTTTGTCTTTCTGAATGAAACATTTCCCACACTCTGAACAGGAATAAGGACGCTCGCCTGTGTGAATTCTGTTGTGTATAAGAAGTCTGTCTCTCTGAGTGAAACCTTTTCCGCACTCTGAACACAGATAAGGTCGCTCGCCCGTGTGAATCATCCGGTGTTTGAGAAGGTTTCCTTTCTGATTGAAAGATTTCCCGCACTCCGGACACGAATAAAGGCGCTCGCCTGTGTGACTTCTTTGGTGTTCCAGTAGGTTTCTTTTGTGAACGAAACATTTCCCGCACTCGGAACATGAATAAGGATGCTCACCCGTGTGAATCCTTTGGTGTTTAAGAAGGTCTCCTTTCTGAATGAAACTTTTACCGCACACTAGGCATGAATGGAGACGCTCACCTGTGTGACATCTCTGATGTATAAGAAAGTTTCCTTTCTCAGTGAAGCATTTCCCGCACTCTGAACAAGAATAGGGGCGCACGCCTGTGTGACATCTTTGATGTTTAAGAAGGTCTCCCTTCTGAATGAAACCCTTACCACACTCTGAACACGAATAAGGACGCTCGCCTGTGTGAATTCTCTGGTGCCTAACAAGACTTGCTTTCTCGGTGAAACATCTCCCGCACTCTGAACATGAGAAAGGACGTTCACTTGTGTGACTTCTCTGGTGTCTAAGAAACGACCTGTTGTTTGTGAAAGATTTCCCACACACTGTACATGACAATGAACTTTCTCCTGTGTGAGCTCCTTCATGGTTTAAAGAAGATTCATTGAGAAGAGACGGATCTGTTGCTGTGTCTGTACTGTGAGATCCCAGATGTACATCCGGAGTATTAGTATGTGATCTATCAGAAGATCCTTCAGGATCAGAGGGATCCATTGGTCTCTCCAAGTGATGAGGTCTCCGAAATATTTCTGTGTCAGGATTTTCTCCTGGAGGACATTGTGTGGTGGCATCCTCATCTGCTTTATATTCTGAAGATCCGTTATTCCAGACATAGAGTCCACCTGTTGGAAATCAACGTTTCCATGTTAGAGGAATTCTTCCTTCAGAAGTCATATACAGGATGTTGGTCTAACGCTCTACAGTATCTCAGAGCTCCGGCATGGAATTGGGGCAATCAGAACAGAGAATATGAATACAAACCAGACAAAGGATACAAAACACCCAAATCACACTGGTAACATTCAACATTGATGACATTGCTACTGTGAGAATGCAGATGGACCTTCCTCCACCTTTCTTGGACAACATATTGAAGAACGAAGATGGACCTTTCATATGGTGTGCAACAGTGATGGATGATTTGCTAGATACAACTTCCCACACGTCACATCTCCTGACACCCCAAAGGGCAGCCCATATGGTGTCCAGTATCTCCTCATTTGTTGGGAACATGATGATATATTGAAGAATGGAGATGGACCTTTCAATGGTGTCCAGTATCTCCTCCTCATTTGTTGGGAACATGACATTCTATTGAGGAATGGAGATGGACCTTTCATATGGTGTCCAGTATCTCCTCCTCATTTGTTGGGAACATGACGTTATATTGTAGAATGAAGATGGACCTTTCATATGGTGTCCAGTATCTTGTCCTCATTTGTTGGGAACATGACGTTATATTGAGGAATGGAGATGGACCTTCATATGGTGTCCAGTATCTCCTCCTCATTTGTTGGGAACGTGACGTTATATTGAGGAATGGAGATGGACCTTTCAATGGTGTCCAGTATCTCCTCCTCATTTGTTGGGAACATGACGTTATATTGAGGAATGGAGATGGACCTTTCATATGGTGTCCAGTATCTCCTCCTCATTTGTTGGGAACATGACGTTATATTGAGGAATGGAGATGGACCTTCTACCCTTTTTATATGATCTCCACTTTGTCTTTATTTAAATACATATTTATTGAAAAAAAAAATTTTTAAATGTAGCTTTTACACATTTAGTGTTTATGACTTACTTGTGTCCATATGTAGAGAAGATTCCTCCGGTTTACTTTTCATAATCATCTCCCCCTCCTGCATAGACTGCTGATCTCCACTCACCAACCTCTCTTCTGCTTCCTCTTTAATTTCAACTTTAATTACTTTAATTTCTTCATCCTGAACCTAAAAATGATAAATAAAATATGTGAAAAAATTAGCTGCCAACAATAAAAGTTTACAGATAAGAATGTTATCTCATAGTTTACAATGAGTTCTATTGCCCCTCTACCTGGAAATGGTGAGCGATATTCTGACTTTCCCGTGCAGAATTTCTGGAATAGAGGACCACCCATAGACCGCTGATCTCTACTAACATACATGTGCTCCTCCACTTCAATTTCAACTTTTATGCCTTTCAGATCCTCCTTCTAAATACCAACAATGATAGTGGAGATTTGTGAAAAAACGGACAAGAACTTATACAGAAGACTTTTATCTCAAAGTGTAGAATACATTTTTATGTCTACATACTCAGCTCCACCTACCTGATGATGGTGACGGATGGTGTGATCTTCCTGTGTGGAATCCCAGGAATACAGAGGATGGGGACATCTCTCTGGCGTGTTTCTGTTACTGGATCCAATAAACATCTGTTCTTCCTCTTTAATTTTAACTTTGAGGTCTTTTGGTTCCTCAACCTAAACCACAAAGATGACGGAACAGAATTGTAGAGAACAAACGATTACATAGCAGAATCATATCATAGAGTTTAGAATACATTTTATGGTCCACAAGCTCAGCCCCAACTCCCTGATCTTGGTGAGGGATAGAGTGATTTTTCTCAGTAGACTGCTGAGCTCCACTCACCAACTTCTCTGCTTCTTCCTCTTTAATCTCAGCTTTGATGTCTTTCAGTTCTTCACTCTAAACCACAAAGATGATAATAAACATTTGTAAAAAGGAACAAGAGGTTGAATACAAGAATGTCATCTCATGGGTTAGAATTCGGTTTGAGCTCAAATTGCTCAGTCCCATCTACCTGATGATGGTGAGGGATGGTGTGACCTTCCTGTGTGGAATACAGAGGATGGGGACATCCTTCTGGTGGGTTCTCATTACTGGATCCATCTACATAATGATGGTGAGGGATGGTGTGATCTTCCTTTGTGGAATTTCGAGAATACAGGGGACAGGGACATCTCTCTGGTGGGTTCCCATGATTGGATTCATCTGTAGGAAACACACACACTGACTGAATCCATTGTTTCTATGTGTTTATCAGATGATGGGGGATCTAGGTGGACCCTCCGTACTGCTCTCTCCTTTACAATAAAGTCTCCTCTTACCCGGTGATGTGAGGGGCGGCTGATTGTCCATCATGACGTCCTTGTGTCCTTCTAAATACTCCCACTCCTCCATGGAGAAATAGACAGTGACATCCTGACACCTTATAGGAACCTGACACACACAATGATACAGTCACCATCCAGACACATCCCTTGGATAAAGTAACTTCCTGTCCAGGGGATGATTGTCAAACAAAACAGGATGTGGGGGGAAATAAGCCTGACTGAAGCACAGAGAATGACAATATTGTGGGGCCAGTCCTATTAGTATCATTGGACTGGCTCTGGAGTAAAAGATGGATAAATGGTTCTATATTTAGGAAATGGCTCTTGGACGGTTGGATAAATGGTAGGACGTATCCGGTCTATAAACCAGAGGCTCCGGATGGACGGTTGGATAAATGGTTCTATATTTAGGACATATCCGGTCTATAAAGCAGAGGCTCCGGATGGACGGTTGGATAAATGGCTCTATATTTAGGACGTATCCGGTCTATAAACCAGAGGCTCTGGATGGACGGTTGGATAAATGGTTCCATATTTAGGATATATCCGGTCTATAAACCAGAGGCTCTGGATGGACGGTTGGATAAATGGTTCTATATTTAGGACGTATCCGGTCTATAAACCAGAGGCTCCGGATGGACGGTTGGATAAATGGCTCTATATTTAGGATGTATCCTGTCTATAAACCAGAGGCTCTGGATGGGCAGTTGGATAAATGGTTCTATATTCAGGACGTATCCGGTCTATAAACCAGAGGCTCTGGATGGACGGTTGGTGACCATGGAGGAAGAGGACGGACATGACGAGGGTTACTGGGTGTACAAAATAAGATCTTATCACCTCGTCTGCTTCCAATTCCAGCAATGTCTCCTCTCTACTTCCTCCGGTCTCACATTTTACCTGGAACTACCGGTGTATTGTGACATCACATCCTGTCTTTATCTGACATCATTTCCTATTTAGAACCTTACATCACTTCCTGTCTTGCATAGCATTCCTGGAGCTGTCCATACAGGCATTGTCTTTTTGTTCTTCACAAATGATTGAATTCCCCCATCCCCGGATTTTGTATTCTGAAAGCCCGAACAGTACCCATCTCTGAATGGAGGCAGCCGCTGTTCAGCCGGCAACTTTCCACCGGACTCCTTTGGTTTGGATGATGATGATGATCAGCGGGATCACCTCTTTGTGCTGAAGATAAAGCTGTTTTGTCTACATTGTTTTTCATACTTTGTTGTGTTCTTCATTTGTTGCACATATTATGCAAGTTAACCATTTGTCTGCCGGGGCCATTTTTTTTTTTTGCGCACCTAAAAAATCTGCATTTGTTGCTATAAAATACTTTAGACACCCAAGCGATGGTATATTTTCTGGAAGCCGAGACCCCGGAGAATAAAACAGAGGCGGTTGTCATTCATTTTGCAGTATACAGTATTTCACCAGCTATTTCATCAAACACATATTCTCAGGGAAAAAAATATACTAAAAATTACCCAAAAAATACCCAATTATTTGGTAGAATCTAAAAGACGGGATTGGGCGGAGTAAGTAGATACCCAACATGTGAAGACTTAAAATTAGAATTATTTCTTTCACTCTGTTGGTAGTGGTGATACCCCCCATGTGTGATGCAACATACACTATATTGCCCAAAGTATTGGCCCCGCCCTCCACATCATGTGATTCAGGTGTTCCAATCCCCTCCAATCATGTGATTCAGGTGTTCCAATCCCCTCCCAATCATGTGATTCAGGTGTTCCAATCATCCCAGGTGTTCCAATCCCCTCCATATCATCTGATTCAGGTGTTCCAATCCCCCCTGTCAATCGTGATTCAGGTGTTCCCATCCCCTCCCAAATCATGCAATTCAGGTGTTCCAATCCCCTCCATATCATGTGATTTAGGTGTTCCAATCCCCTCCATCCAATCATGTGATTCAGGTGTTCCAATCCCCTCCATATCATGTGATTCAGGGTGTTCCAATCCCCTCCCAATCATGCGATTCAGATGTTCCAATCCCCTCCATGGACACAGGTGTATACAATCAAGCCCCTAGGCATGCAGACTGCTTCTACAAACATTGGTGAAAGAATGGGTCGCTCTCAGGAGCTCAGTGACTCCAAGCGTGGTCCCGTGATAGGTGGCCACCTGTGCAATAAGTCCATCCATCAGATAGGTGGAAGTGAAGGGGGAAGGTAAAAAATCATTCTAAATTATGAAATGGCAATCTTTTATGTAATCTCTTGCTCCTTTTTGTAAATGTATTCTGTCACTTTTGGTGTATAGGGTGAAAAACTGAAAGACATCGAAGTTGGGGAGAAAAAAATAGAAGAAAAGATGTTTTTGGGAGAAAATCAGCAGTTTGTGGAGAAATGTAGACTTTTTTATTCCTGGGATTAAACACCAGATCTCAGCATCCTTCACAATGTTCAGGTAGATGGTACTGAGAAACTCGAGCTCACAAAGTATTCTAAACTAGGAGATAACAGCTTCCTTGTGAGAGGCTCTTCCTGGTCACATAACTCTACCCAGCCAGCTGCGGTGATTGGCTTCCTGCCTTGGAACAGACAAGGGGGCGTGGCTACATGTTTCAGGGCTGCACTGCCCCTTTCTCAAGCCTACATTTCACACAGGTCCCAGCTTCCTTGTATGAGGTGCTTCCTGTCATATTACTCTAATAGCCATCGGCAGTGATTGGCTTCCTGGCATGGAACGCACAAGGGGGTGTGGCTACATGTTTCAAGGCTATGCTGCCCCTTTCTCAAGCCTGCATTTCACAGAGGTCCCAGCTTCCTTGTGGGAGGCTCCCTGGTCACATTACCCAGCCAGTGATTGGCTTCATGGAACAGACAAGGGGGCCTGGCTACATGTTTCTGGGCTACGCTGCCCCTTTCTCAAGCCTGCATTTCACAGAAGACCCAGCTTCCCTGTGTGAGGTGCTTCCTGGTCACATTACTCTCCCAGCCAGCGGCAGTGATTGGCTTCCTGGCATGGAACAGAAAAGGGGGTGTGGCTACATGTTTCAGGGCTACACTGCCCCTTTCTCAAGCCTGAATTGCACAGAGGTCCCAGCTTCCTGGTTACTTTACTATACCTAGCCAGCAGTGGTGATTGGCTTCCTGCCTTGGAACAGACAAGGGGTGTGGCTACATGTTTCAGGGCTACGCTGCCCCTTTTTCAAGCCTACATTTCACAGAAGACCCAGCTTCCCTGTGTGAGGTGCTTCCTGGTCACATTACTCTCCCAGCCAGCGGCAGTGATTGGCTTCCTGGCATGGAACAGACAAGGGGGCGTGGTTACATGTTTCAGGGCTGCACTGCCCCTTTCTCAAGCCTACATTTCACAGAGGTCTCAGCTTCCATGTGGGAGGCGCTTCATGGTTACTTTACTCTGTGAGTCAGCTTCCTGGTCACATTACTCTCCCAGCCAATGGCGATGAGTCAGCTCCCTGGCATAGACCGATGCCCACCCAGAGAATTTTGATGACAAGCGCAGCTTTCCTTACCCTCTCCTGTACCCTCATTGCCATTTTTTTTTATTTATTAAATGTTTTCTAATGCTACACTTTAGTCCGGCGCACTCTGGTCTTTCTTCAGTCTCCTGAGATGCCGCAGCAACCATATGCCAGGATGAAAATGGAAAATGGAGTTGACCCCTTGCGGACTATGATGGCCATTATGAGCTTTTTTTTTTTTTCGCATCCTTCTTTCTCCTTACGCACTGAACCTCCTTTTTGCATCATTTCTAAGCTTTTTACCTTTTTTCCCGGCAACCAATGTAGGGCGCCTTTCTCCACTGACCACCGACATACGGAACATTCTTCACTGAGGGCCACCAATGTGAAGAAACATTTCTTTCCATTTATTATTCATTTTTATTTTAGTATTACAACGAACAACATTTTGGAGGAGCTGTGCTAAAAAAAAAAAATGATTTGTCCTAGAAAACAGGCGCTCTGAATATTTGACTTAAATTATGCTTTAATCTATTCAAAAAGTAAAAAAAATAAATAAATATATGTATATTTATTATGATGTGTAAAAATTTTATATATATATATATATATATATATATATATATAAAAATAATATGATGTACAAAAAAAATAATATGATGTAAAAAAAAAATATTTATATATACAGTATATAAATATTTATATTATGATGTAAAAAAAAAAAAAAAAAAAAAAGACATTCATAAATAACGACATATTGGCAGGAACAATGAAAAAAACTCATTTTAATTTTGCCACACCACCCACTACACCAGTCTGAACTTGAAACCGGTTGTCAGCCCACGTGAATTTTCTGGTGAGCGATAAATGGTTTTCTGTAACTGAAACATTTCCCGCACTCCGAACACAAATAAGGACGCTCGCCCGTGTGAATCTTCTGGTGTGTGATGAGCGCATTTTTCCGAGTGAAACCTTTCCCGCACCCTGAACAGGAATAAGGACGCTCGCCCGTGTGAATTCTCTGGTGTAAAAGAAGTTCTCCTTTCTGAATGAAACACTTCCCGCACTCCGAACATGAAAAAGGGGCGCTCACCCCTGTGGATCTTCTGGTGAGTAGCAAGTGCGCTTTTCCAACTGAAACACTTCCCGCATGCTGAGCAGCGATAAGGGCGCTCACCTGTGTGAGCGCTCTGGTGTGCGTTAAGTGCGCGTTTCTGAGTGAAGCTTTTCCCGCACTCTGAACATGAATAAGGACGCTCACCTGTGTGAATTCTGTGGTGTTTAAGAAGGTCTCCTTTCTGAATGAAACGTTTCCCACACTCTGAGCACGAATAGGGACGCTCACCTGTGTGACTTCTCTGGTGTTTATGTACGTCTCTTTTCTGGATGAAGCATTTCCCACACTCTGAACATGAATATGGACGCTCACCTGTGTGAATTCTTTGGTGTTTAAGAAGTCCTTGATTCCTAGTGAAACATTTCCCGCAAACTGTACATGAATGAGGATATTCCCCTGTGTGACTTCTCTGGTGTTTAACAAGCCCGGCCTTCTCAATAAAACATTTTCCCGCACTCTAAACAAGAATATGGACGCTCACCCGTATGAGTCATTTGATGTTTAACAAGGCGTTCTTTCTGAGTGAAACATTTGCCACACTCTGAACATGAATAGGGACGCTCTCCTGTGTGATTTTTCTGGTGTTTAAGAAGGTTTCCTTTTTGAATGAAACATTTCCCACACTCTGAACATGAATAAGGATGCTCACCTGTATGACTTTCTTTGGTGTATAAAGAGTGCTTTTTTCTCAATAAAGCATTTCCCACACACTGAGCATTCATAAGGACGTTCGCCCGTGTGAATTCTCTGGTGTGTTAGAAGGTTTCCTTTCTGAATGAAACACTTCCCGCACTCTAAACATGAATAAGGCCGTTCACCTGTGTGACTTCTTTGGTGTATGTGTAGCTTTCCTTTCTCAGTAAAACACTTGCCGCACTCTGAACATGAATAAGGACGCTCACCTGTGTGAATCCTCTGGTGTATTATAAGGTCTCCCTTTTGACTGAAACATTTCCCGCACTCTGAACATGAATACGGACGTTCACCTGTGTGACTCCTCTCATGAATGTGAAGTTTTTCTTTCTGAATGAAACATTTTCCGCATTCTAAACATGAATAGAGATGCTCGCCTGTATGGATTCTCTGGTGTCTAACAAGACCGCCTTTCTCAGCGAAACATTTCCCACACTCTGAACATAAGAAAAGGCGCTCGCTTTTGTGACCTTTTATGTGTCTAAGAAGTGCCCTTTCTTCTGTGAAAGATTTCCCACACGCTGAGCATGACAATGGACTCTCTCTCATGTGGATTAAAGGAGTTTCATGGAGATTAGATGGATCTCTAGACGTCTCTTTACTGGATGGTGGATGAAGGTCCGAAGTACCAGCATGGGATTTATCAGACGATTCCTCAGCAAGAGAAAGATTTATGGGTCTCTCTAAATTGTAAGGTCTGTTCTGTATTCTTTGAGTAACGGGATTCACTCCCGGAGAATATTGCGTGATGTTCTTATCTTCGGCCTTCAAATTTTGGGATAAAATAAGAGGTCCCTCAGAGGTATGTGAGACAGAGAGTCCAGCTGTAGGAAATCGATCGTATAAATAAATGTTAGAAATGTTCTTCATCCCTCACATTCAGGAGTAAAATACATTGTTCCAGCAATCATGAATACAAACCAGATAAAGGACACAAGGAACCCAAATTACACTGGGCAACAATGGAATGGAGATGGACCTTCCATATGGTGTCCAGTATTTCCTCCCTCATTTGTCGGGAACATGACGTTATATTGAGGAATGGAGATGGACCTTCCATATGGTGTCCAGTATCTCCTCCTCATTTGTCGGGAACATGACGTTATATTGAGGAATGGAGAGATGGACCTTCCATATGGTGTCCAGTATCTCCTCCTCATTTTGTAGGTAACATGACGTTATATTGAGGAATGGAGATGGACCTTTCATATGGTGTCCAGTATCTCCTCCTCATTTGTCGGGAACATGACGTTATATTGAGGAATGGAGATGGACCTTTCCATATGGTGTCCAGTATCTCCTCCTCATTTGTTGGGAACATGACGTTATATTGAGGAATGGAGATGGACGTTATATTGAGGAATGGGATGGACCTTCCATATGGTGTACAGTATCTCCTCCTCATTTGTTGGGAACATGACGTTATATTGAGGAATGGAGATGGACCCTTTCATATGGTGTCCAGTATCTCCTCCTCATTTGTCGGGAACATGACGTTATATTGAGGAATGGAGATGGACCTTCCATATGGTGTCCAGTATCTCCTCCTCATTTGTAGGTAACATGACGTTATATTGAGGAATGGAGATGGACCTTTCATATGGTGTCCAGTATCTCCTCCTCCTTTGTTGGAAACATGACGTTATATTGAGGAGGAATGGAGATGGACCTTTCATATGGTGTCCAGTATCTCCTCCTCCTTTGTTGGGAACATGACGTTTATATTGAGGAATGGAGATGGACCTTCCATATGGTGTCCAGTATCTCCTCCTCGTTTCTCGGGAACATGACGTTATATTGAGGAATGGAGATGGACCTTCCATATGGTGTCCAGTATCTCCTCCTCATTTGTAGGGAACATGACGTTATATTGAGGAATGGAGATGGACCTTTCATATGGTGTCCAGTATCTCCTCCTCCTTTGTTGGAAACATGACGTTATATTGAGGAATGGAGATGGACCTTTCATATGGTGTCCAGTATCTCCTCCTCCTTTTGTTGGGAACATGACGTTATATTGAGGAATGGAGATGGACCTTTCATATGGTGTTCAGTATCTCCTCCTCATTTCTCGGGAACATGACGTTATATTGAGGAATGGAGATGGACCTTCCATATGGTGTCCAGTATCTCCTCTTCATTTGTTGGGAACATGACGTTATATTGAGGAACGGAGATTGACCTTTCATATGGTGTCCAGTATCTGCTCCTCATTTCTCGGGAACGTGACGTTATATTGAGGAATGGAGATGGACCTTCCATATGGTGTCCAGTATCTCCTCCTCTTTTGTTGGGAATATGATGTTATATTGAGGAATGGAGATGGACCTTTCATATGGTGTCCAGTATCTCCTCCTCATTTTCTCAGGAACATGATGTTATATTGAGGAATGGAGATGGACCTTTCATATGGTGTCCAGTATCTCCTCCTCATTTCTCAGGAACATGACGTTATATTGAGGAATGGAGATGGACCTTCCATATGGTGTCCAGTATCTCCTCCTCATTTGTCGGGAACATGACGTTATATTGAGGAATGGAGATGGACCTTCCATATGGTGTCCAGTATCTCCTCCTCATTTCTCGTGAACATGACGTTATATTGAGGAATGGAGATGGACCTTTCATATGGTGTCCAGTATCTCCTCCTCCTTTGTTGGGAACATGACGTTATATTGAGGAATGGAGATGGACCTTTCATATGGTGTCCAGTATCTCCTCCTCCTTTGTTGGGAACATGACGTTATATTGAGGAATTGAGATGGACCTTTCATATGGTGTCCAGTATCTCCTCCTCCTTTGTTGGGAACATGACGTTATATTGAGGAATGGAGATGGACCTTCCATATGGTGTCCAGTATCTCCTCCTCATTTGTTGGGGACATGACGTTATATTGAGGAATGGAGATGGGCCTTTCATATGGTGTCCAGTATCTCCTCCTCGTTTGTTGGGAACATGACGTTATAATTGAAGAATGGAGATTGGGTATTGCTGCAAATATAAAGATTGCATTATTGTAGGGGGGGCTTTTTATGGTGGGAAATTGTTTTGCACGCATGTTTTGGTAGGTAGATGAAAAATGTAAACGGTTTCTACATTTCGTGTTTTATGACTTACTTGTGTCCATATGTAGAGAAGATTCCTCCAGTTTACTTTTCATAACCATCTCCCCCTCCTCCATAGACTGCTGATCTCCACTCACCAACGTCTCTTCTTCTTCCTCTTTAATCTCAACTTTGATGTCTTTCAGTTCTTCATCCTAAACCCCGAAGATGATAGAATATAACATCTAGAAGAATAATTGCCAATAATAAAAGATTACATAAAAGAATGTTATCTCATAGTTTAGAATACTTTGTGAGCTCGAGTTGCTCAGTACCATCTACCTGAACATTGTGAAGGATGCTGAGATCTGGTATCAAATCCCGGGAATAAAAAATTCTACACTTCTCCACAAACTGCTGATTTTCCCCCACAAACATCTTTTCTTCTATTTTTTTCTCAACTTTGATGTCTTTCCGTTCTTCACCCTAAACACCAAAAGTGACAGAATACATTTACAAAAAGGAGCAAGAGATTACATAAAAAGATTGCCATTTCATAATTTAGAATGATTTTTCACGTTCCCCCTTCACTTCCACCTACCTGATGATGGTGAGGGATGGTGTGACCTTCCTGTGTGGAATCCTGGGAATACTGAGGACAGGGACATCTCTCTGGTGGGTTCCCATGACTGGATCCATCTACCTGATGATGGTGGGGGGGTAGTGTGACCTTCCTGTGTGGAATCCCAGGAATACAGAGGATGGAGACATCTCTCTGGTGGGTTCCCATGACTGGATCCATCTGTAGGAAACACACACACTGACGGAATCCATTGTTTCTATTTGTTTATCAGATGATGGGGGATCTAGGTGGACCCTCAGTACTGCTCTCTCCTTTACAATAAAGTCTCCTCTTACCGTGTACACGGTGATGTGAGGGGCGGCTGATTGTCCATCATGACGTCCTTGTAGAGGTCCTTGTGTCCTTCTAAATACTCCCACTCCTCCATGGAGAAATAGACAGTGACATCCTGACACCTTATAGGAACCTGACACACACAATGATACAGTCACCATCCAGACACATCCCTTGTCTGTTACTGGAGAATGTCCCAGAATTCCCGGCACCGCTCACCTCTCCTGTCAGCAGATCAATGATCTTCTGGTGACTTCTAGAACCTTCTTGGCACTGGTTCCCTCTGTTGTCAGGCAGTGAGGTGGAGGCCCTGTGATGGGTAATGTCCTGTGAAGACGGCTGCTGGGTGGTAAAGGCTCACCAGATATTTTTTTTCACTACTTTATAATCCTGTGTATAGGGAGGAGGAAGTAACAATTATCACCACAGACTTCCCAGAATCCCCCTCACCCCTCCGGTCAGGTCTGTGTTTCATTAATAGAGATGAGAGTGATGTCATGTGACCTCCCAGAATCCTCCTCCTCACCTCTCCTTTCAGGTCTGTGTTTATTAATAGAGATGAGAGTGATGTCATGTGACCTCCCAGAATCCTCCTCACCTCTCCAGTCGGTCCGTGTTTTATTAATAGTGATGAGAGTGATGTCATGTGACCTCCCAGAATCCTCCTCACCACTCTGGTCAGGTCTGTTTCCTAATTACAAGACCTTATCAGCCTCATAAATCCCACCGTAGGACAACCAGAGATTCCCTTGTAAAGCTTTTATTTTAGACTTCGACTGACTGCTATACTGTTGACATCTCTATATTTAGGATGTATCCGGTCTGTAAACCATAACGGACATCACGGTGACGATGGAGGAAGAGGACGGACATGACGATGGAGGAAGAGGATGGACATGAGGGGAGGTTACTGGGTGTAAACAGAAAATAATGTCTTATTACCTCCTTTGCTGCCAGTTCTGGAACCGTCTTCTATCTACTTCCTCCCGACTCACCTCTCACCAGGAACTTCCTATTTATACCTGACATCATTTCCAGCTTCTACCTTACATCACTTCCTGTTTGTTCATTTTGAACTGAGATCACCACCTTAGGAAATATAAATATTGCAGTCTATATTTATGTATCAACATTTGCCCCCCCCCCCCCCCCGCTTCACCATCCATTCCCCTGGTATGATTAGCAGTGCAGACCCGCTGTTAGTCCCAGGTTCTATTCCCTATGGGGTGCACGGTCACAGGGTACATAGTAGTGTCTCAGTCTCACCGCTCAATAACCAGCCAGAAGCTACTTTTTATGAGTTTATTGGTTGAGGAACTGGGATGGGGACTAGGGTGAGCCTTGGGATACTCCAGAACTTCTTCCGGGTAGGCCTCTATTAGAAGAAGCAGTGGACATTCAACTCCAGGAGGATCCCCCACTGGAAACGGCAATCTCTGGAACAGACTTTAGTATCGGCCAGACCCTGTATGGTGAGCCTCTCAGACAGATCCTGTGCTGACCCTACTCCAGACTGTCCTTCAAAACTTAGGAATCGGTCCTCCCTTAGCTGGGACCACGTTGAACCACCTGTAGCTCCACTGCTTGG